TGCAAAGTGCGGCTTTAGTTTTTTACTTCTTTGTAGGCTCTGGTGACTGTTTTTTGCAAAATGTAACATATTTGTGTGTTTGTTCTCCAGGCCACTCGTTCTGGTGGGACCTTGGTGCTGGTGGGGCTGGGGCCTGAGATGGTCACTGTGCCCATCGTGAATGCTGCCGTGCGGGAGGTGGATATCCGGGGGATATTCCGCTACTGCAACACGTGAGTCTCGTGCAGGGTGGGCTGATGTGTATTCAACTCTGTCCTTAAGAAATTCTTGCTTTCCACAAGGAGAGAGGATGTGGAAAAGGCTGGTTTTCTTTACAGTTGTTTAAACCTCATGTCACTCTGAAATACCAGCGCTGCAGTGCAGACAGTGTGACTGCTGTGTCTTGCGTTTTTTGCCTTGGTTCCTGGAAGAGCCCTGCACTGCAAAATTGACCACAACTGGGTTGGGTTGTTCCACTGTCCTATTTCACGCGGCATTTGGTGCAAAGAAAGGAAGAGGCCCAACAAACACTTACTCTGCTGCAAGCAAGCAGGCCAAAATGAAAAAAATAATTCATAATTAACATTTGTGCCTTCAACTTATGCCCTGTAGAAAGGGAAGACCAGGTGCTGGGGGTGTTTTGGAGGAGACTGGCTTGTCCACAAGTGTGCTGGCTCATGGCATGGCAGAGAGGACCACACAGCTTTTAGCTGCTTCAACCCTTTGTGCTGGGAGATCTCTAAGCAGCAGCTTGGCCTGGCACTGACCCCTGGAACTGCTTTGTGAAAAGCTGGGTGCCTCCTGGCATCCACCTTCCTAACTCCTATATTGTCAATTTAGAGGCAAGTGATACGGTGAATCTTAATTCTGGGCAAAGAGTCAAAATCCCAAGTGCCTCATCTTGTGTCAAGCTGTGAACACCCAGCCTTGCTGGTGGTGCCCAGCTCTGTTCTCCATGCTCGTCATGGAAGGAAATCATGTCGTCAGTCTTGTTGGAGATCGGTGAATGCTTGGATGACCAAGAGCCATGTTTAGCGTTCATCATTTTGCTGGAGCTGAAGATGTATCTGGAGCCAGTTTGAAGGCATTTGCGCTCTCTATGGAGAACTGAACTGCATGGCTTGTGAACAGGCAGGTCTTTTAGTGTACTGAAAGCTGGCCTCAGCCTGAAGGCAGGAAAAGCTCAGCTGTTCTCTTTGGTCTTGTTCTCCTTGGGCAGGGCTTGAGACCCAGCATTGCACACTCGCAGCCTGGTTTCTGCTGTGTTCAGAGCTGTGGTTTCTTCCTAGCAGAGCAGGAATCTGTGCTTAGTCTGTAGAGATTGTTTTCCAGGAAGGAGTTATGAGATGTGTCAAGCTCCTTCTTAAAATGAGAAATGTCTTTAAGTAGGCGGTTTGGGAATTAGATTAGCTGCTGCATCCCTTCGTATTCCCATCACTCTGATTTGGCCCATTCAAATGGAGCGGCAAGGCAACCAAATTGCATGAGTCTCCACCAAAGAAGAGGTTGGAAGCTGACTGAGGCTTTTCCTTTCTTCTCCTTGCACCGAGTTGGTGAGTTTGAACTCCACAGTGATCAGTCTGCAAACAAGGAGGCAGGGCAAGAGGAGAGCGGCACAGAGCAGTTTTGTTTTCCAGTCGATGCTTCAGATGCATAGTTGTCTCCTGTGATTTTCACTTACTCAGCCTCTTGAAGGTGAAGCACCACCAACTGTCTGTGTGTAGCAGTGCCTGCCTTCTAGGTGCTCAACAGCCCAGAGCAGTTGGCTTGTCCCATCTCCCATGCCTGATGTGTGAGGTTCTGCCTCTGGAAGATTGTTTGTGGGCAAAACTCCCCTTGGTTGCCTGGGCTGAGGAAATAACTGTAATGAAACCAGGCTCCTCCGTGCTCTTTCCTTGGGGCTCCAAACCAGTGACTGCTCTCATCTCCTGCTCTCCGTTTCCCTTGCAGGTGGCCCGTGGCAATTGCTCTGCTCGCATCCAAGCGGATCAACGTCAAGCCCTTGGTTACGCACCGCTTCCCCCTGGAAAAGGCTCTCGAGGCATTCGAGACCACCAAGAGGGGCGAGGGGGTAAAAGTCATGCTGAAGTGTGACCCCACTGACCACAACCCCTGAGGTGCCGTGGTGCCCAGCCCTCTCTCCCGTTACACCGCCTGCCTGAGATGCGAAGCATGAGGCCGCGGGAGGCTGATGTATGGCTGTTGCATGTTTACACAGTCACCTTATGCAGGCGCTGCTTTGTAATAGAGCTAGAAAATCAAATGATAATGAGGGTGAATGGCACTGAGGGATACACCGTTAGAGTATTAACAGGTAACTACAAATGGAGAACCAATAGGGAATAGTTTGAATCAAAACGCTGCTGTTTGGTTAGAGACGATGGTTCACATGGTTGGCTCTTCTCTGGCAGACCCCATGCACAGAAGAGCCTGGCTCTCTGCTCGTATTGGGCAGAGCCGCCTGCGTGGCCGCGGGGTTTGTCTGCGCTGCGGCAGGGTGTCACCAGCCGCGTGGGTGAAGTGAGGATGGAGATGCTGGGGCTCCACCTTCCTGCCCCAGCACTGCCCTGGGGCTGTGCTTGCCGCAGCTCTTGCCGCATGGCAGTCCCTGGGCGCAGGATAGCCCTACGTGAATATTCCACCTTCCCTCGGGGACGCTCAGGGACTCTAACAGCCTGTGGAACAAAGCCTGGCCAGCCCATCTCTGTGGGAAGCATCTGCACATTCAGGTCATTCTCTCCACGCTCTTTGCAAATAGCAAACTGCGGGCCCAGAGCCCAGACCTTTTCTGGAGAAGATAGTCTGGAGGCCAGCTGGGACCATATCTGCTGTGTAATAACCCCCAGCAGCTCCCCGTGGGGCAGAAAGGACCTTCGCAGAGCAGGCTGGAGTGTGTTTGCAGGTAAACTGCCCTGTCTCCGGCTGGGACTGCAGAGAGCCCTGTCCTTATGAGGCCCCAAGGAGGGGCTGCAGTTGGGGGGCACAGCTGTCTTTTAGCATGGAGAGAAGCGGAGGTGAGAAGTAAGGGGACAGCATCACTCAAAGGTTTTACCACTGCAAATGAGTCGTAACTTTTTGGGGATATCAGGCCTTCCTGCGGAGTTTGTGAGCCATGAACGAGGTACTGGCAAAGTTGCAGGTTGCAGATAACAGAATCTAATCTTCGGTTACAGTCATGATAATTTTAATACTGGGTGATCAGTCCCTTTCTTGCCCGGTACTGAACTTTCCTCAATAAATGCTACCTACCTGATGTGTTTGTGTCCATTAAAGTGTTGGGTGGGTGGTTTGAAGTGGTCTCTGACTTTGCACCCTGGGGACTGGGCAGACCCCTGGGCTGTTGCGCTGCTGGGTCTCGCCGGCCTGCAGGCGAGCTCAGTGCTGGCAGGACCACGAAACCTTAAATGACCCAGGTGCTTGTAAATCAAAGCTTGTATTTATTGCAGAGGTGGCTACATTAATCTTGGCAGAGGTGGAAACGTGGAAGTCCATGCTGTGTTTTACAGGGCTAAGACATAACCCAGGGGAACTTCCCGTAGCCAGAAGGAGAAGCGGTCGAAGTACTGCTCAGAGTAAACTGAGTTGTTAATGGGTCAGCCTGAGCAGGTAAAACCTACCCGGGAGCCTGGCCCTGCAATCAGATGTTAGCAGAACCCGTCCAAGAACCGCGACAGTGCACCTTGCTGAAGGGTGTGTGATGGCCGGGGAGGTGAAGCCTCCCAGCTGTTGGCAGTGGGGGTGAGCCGGGGCTCCTTGCTGAGCCGTGGGGCTCTCCCGGCCCCCGAATCCCGTGCTGGGGGAGCCCCATTGGCATGGCTGGGGGACCGCTGGCCATCGCAAGACCCTGTTATCACTGTGAAATGTAGAGCTGCGCCCTGTGGTCTTGGGGGACCGTATAACACCCCAGGGGCTGAAGTTATTCCCACGGCTCAGCCTCTTTGGGCTCCTCGGCTGTAATCTGTTCCTGCACCAGATCTCGCTGGGGGACATTGCCGCTGTCGGGGCATTGCTGGGGCTGCTGAGCCTGGTAGGACACGGTCTGTGGGGCTGTGCCTGGGCTCAAATCTGCATCCCCCGCCTCCACCCCATGTACATCACCACTGCAGGGGAAACTCACTCCTGTTTAACCCATTTCTCAGTGGGCTGGCGTAAATACTCTGTAACAGGAGCAGGGCCAGCACTATGCCACAAGTATTGCAAGTCTCCAGGTGACTGAGACCCAACTGCAGGAGGCAAGAAAATGTTTTAAAACTTCAATCATCAGCTTTATTTAAGCTCAATCACAGCCTGCGAGAGCAGCAGCCCAGCGATGCAAAGCCAGGCATTAGTTAAACAAGCACAAATGATCCCTGATCAAAGGACGGTGACGCTGCTGGAAGAAGCCAACGCAAACACAGCTAAGGCCCTATGCAAACCCAGGAAAGGCTTGGAGCGCTAACGAGCAGGCACAAATGAGTGCGTTAGGAAAGCTGAGCCTGTTTCAAGAAGAGGGACGGTGGGGAGCTCTCTGGCTCCTCACCCCGAGTGCGCGCCTCCCAGGTCTCGGGGCAAAGTGCTGTGAATTCAGGTTGTGCAGGCACCAAGCTGTTCCCCAAAGCTGTTCAAAGCCATTCCCTGTGCGACCCGGCAGCACACGGGCTCCGTCTCGCAGGATTAAGCTGGCAGAGCCAGGCTTGACTCGAACGCTGGGTTTTCTGGATTGGGACACGCCAGCCCGACCCTGGGCGCGGGGCTGTAGGAGTGCGTGGATGGTAGCAGGATGCTCTGGGCTGAGGGGTTCACACCAGGGCTGTGTGGGGTGATGCTGGGATGGCAACACTTTACTGGTGCACTGTCTGCTGGTCTCAGCTCTGCGGGTTTCAGCATCCATGCTCTCGGCCATGGATGGCTTTCTCCCGGGGATGGTGGTGGGTGGGAGCCCAGGACCATGACCACCCAAAGCATCGCCGCACAGGTGCTGGGGTTGGACACGCATTTCCAATGACGATTGCAGCCCAGGGGTGAAACTGCATGGGGTAGGGTCAGAAATTCTCATAGTGATGTGCGAAGTAGGTCTGGTCCTTCTTGTTCAGCTGCCGACAAGCCTTTTCCACGCTCTTCGTCATCCCAGGCGGGCCACAGCTGAACACCCCGATCTTCTGCACCTGGGGAAGGAGGGAGCCAAAGGGGTCAAACCCAGCAGCACTAGCTCTCCCCCCAGCCCAGCCCCCCCTTGGCCCCTTGCCCTCCGGCAGCTTTGGACACGGATGCTGGCCGAGCAGTCTGTCCCGGCCTGAGGAGGCTTTTGAGGAGTTTGTCACCTCCCCATGGAGCTGCTGGGGCCATGGAGGAAGGATGGGATCCCCCAGGGTCTCTGCCAGCTCCAGGCAGTGGCTGCAGGCGGGGTCTCGCCATAGCGGGGGGTGTTTGGCTGCTACGGAGCATTGCTGACTCTTGCAGCTCATCCTGGCTCCGGAGGGAAAGCGGGGTTCATGACCATTCTGCCTTGCCCGTGGTGCGGATGCCACCAAGGTCTCCAGGGCCTCAGGGACAGGCTGGGACCAGTCCTCCACACTGGCTGGTGGGTGCCCCCCGACCTGTCCCCAGCCAGGCACCGACCTCGGGGTGCACCTCCTGCAGCGAATTGAAGAAGGGTACGAAGGGAGGGCGCCCGAAATGGGTGATGGAGCGCAGCCCCGTGAACAGGCTCTTGTTCAACACCTTCTGGAAGTGCCGCTCGCAGATGTACTGGAAGAGAGATCAGTGCATGTCAGATGGCCCAGCACGGCCCAGCACGGCATGGCATCCTCCCCAGCGGGTGGCCAGGCTCACCAGCATAGTGGTGCGCAGGTCAAACTTCTCAGCCAGCTGCGTGATGTAGATGTGCACAGAGACCAGGTCGTTCCTGTCCGTCTCCTCCACCTCGCGGATGATGTCTGCTAGCCACTCAAATTGCCGCTGCGTGCGGGTCACCCAGATGAAGTAGATCTGGGCACACAGGGATGAGGGTCAGCATGGGGCTGTCACCCCATGCATGTCCATGGGGCTCCTTCCCACATGGGTCGTGGGGGATTTTGCCCCTGAAGAGGCCACCAGCAGCAGGAGGCATCTCGGGAGGGCTCTTGTCCTCCAGATGCTTCCTCTTACCTTCTTACACAGCAGCTTGGAGCTGATGGATGACTTGAAGACCAGGTCTTTGAGAATGGACGCAAAGGGCGTCACCCCAATGCCTCCTCCCACCAGTACCGACACCTCAAACTTGTTCCACTCCTGATGGCCCTCCCCAAAGGGCCCGTCCAGATAGAGCTGGAAGAGAGCCAGCCGTCAGCAGAGCATCTCCCTCCTCCACTTGCCCAGGTCTTGGCCACCTTCAAGGCTGGACAAGTGCCTCGGGCTGGGCACAACCCATTGCTGACATGCTCTCGGGCTTGGATGTCCCCGTCCCCGGAGAAACAGCATGGGGCTCACCTTGGGCAGCTTGCCGATGAGGACCAGGCTCTCTGGGGAGTAGAGCTCCCGCAGGCGGGTTGTCCAGGGCCCCACGGCCCGGATGTGCAGGCTCAGCGTGTCCTCGTGCGGTGCTGAGGTCAGGGTGAAGGGGTGGTACTCGGTGGTGCCCAGGGCCACACAGGCGATGCGCACCCACTGCCCGGACTTGTAGTCAAAGTCCTGCGGCCGCTGGAACCGGAGGTGGGTGACGCCTGGGGGGGGGACGGGAATGGGGACTTCAATAAGGTGGAGACACTGAGCATGGGAGAGGAAAGGTGAGGGGAGATGAGTGGGCTCAAGGAAAGATGGAGCATTAGAGGTGTGCGCAGAGTGGGTGGGAGGGGGCTTGGGGACAAGCTGTGGAGCCAGGCACAGGGCTCAGGATGCTGGAGAGGCCATGCCGGGGCACAGCCCTGGGGCCAACCGGTTCTTCTTGGGTAAATAACTGATGCCAGGGTGTGATGGCCTGAGCTTTGTGCCTCAGTTTCCCTGCCTGTGAAAGGGGTGGCACAAGAGACCCTTGCCACGCAGGGGTGCTGCAAAGGCATTGGGGCAACATGTGTAATGGGATGCAGCTAACTCTTGGAGGTGCCAGCCTGAGCCACCAGCACGTGTGACAGCCAGCAGGACATTTCCTGGGGCCAGAGTCACCTACGTGCCACCTGGGTTGGGAACTGCTGCCATCTCAGTGCTGGCAGCTGCGTTTCTTCCATCGCTGCAGCCCCGGATGCATGGCCAGGGAGGATGCGGTACCTGAGGGCAAAAGTTCGGCTTTCACCACGCTGATCTCCACCTTCTTCCTGCTCAGGCTGAGCAGCTTGTCCGCTCCGTAGATGAGAGCTGGGATGATGAAGTAGATGTGGAAGGTGGGCTGCTGGATCAGCGCGTAGCTGCCGTGGATGACGACCTGGGCAGGGAGCAGCCCCCATCAGCACGGCATGGTAAGCCATCGCCCCATGTCTGATTCGGTGGCAGCTCAGCAGCAGCAGGGAGCCAGGATTGCGGCAACCAGCTCCCTTGGGACCTCCCCAGCTATTTCACCTTGTCTGCCAGTCCGACCCATGGGCTTGAATGGTGGCCCATCGGCACCCTCCCAGCCCAAATGCTTTACCAGGACGTAGAGGAGCATGTAGAGATGGTGGGTGATCCAGAAGCCCTGGAAGCTGACGCGTCGGAAGTGGTGGGTGGCGAACACATACATCACAGCCAGGATCACGAGCAGCAGCACTCCCGTCATGCCTGTGAGTGAAGAGGTTGTGAGGTCCCAGTGGGGATCAGGGCAGCCCCGCAGAGGGCTGCCCATCCTGGGCACGGGCGTGCGGAGGTCTGCCTGCTAGGTGGTCTCACCTGGAACAGTCTGGAAGAACCACCAGTAATACTTCTGTGGGAGCTGTGACCTGGAGAGGGACAAGAGGTTGCACCATGGAGCGGCCAGAGCAAACTCCTGGTTTCCACTTTCATTCCCATCTATGCCCAGGACACTCTGTCTGGACCGTGCTTTAAATTTCACCTACCCATCATTCATAAAGACACTGGAAAAGAGGCAGGACAACACGCTGAGAGGCGTGACTGAGAAGATGTAGATGTTCACTACATGACCTAGTGTGTGGAGCACTGTAACAGACAGAAACCAGGAGAGAAAAGCATCACTGTCGCTGTGGGTGGAGGTGCGGCAGACCCTGCTGATGTGCCCAGGGACCTGGCAATTCCTCCTCTTCTCTGGTGCAAAGCATCTATGCCTCTCCAGGCTCCATATGGGTCTTCAAGCTTCTGCCTGGTCCTGCTGTGCCATGATGGGCTGGTCCTCCTGCTTTAGCTGTGATTTGTGGGTGACACATCCCCCAGCAGCCCACCTACCTGAGAAAATCAGGGCTGCCATGGCAACCCAGCGATGGAAGTCCACGGCAGCATCGAAGGGGATGTAATGATTAAGGAAGGTCTCCCGCAGGACGGTGATAAGGTTGCGACACATGGTGAGCAAGAGGTAGGAGTACATGAAGGAGATGCTGGCAGCCGCTCCCCGGGAGATGATGATCCCCACAAAGGTGGTCTGCGCGATTCCAGTGCTGGGGGATGCGAAGCCGTAGTCTGGGGAGAGAGAGCGGAGGGGCGTCAACGTGCCCGGCGCTGAGGGCCATGACCCTTCCTGCAACAAGGGGACAGCCACCTGCATGGCTGCACCAAGAAAAGATCACCAGAGATGGGGCTGTGTGGGGACAGGGGCACAATCCTCTGTGTCAGACCCCCCAGAGCTGCTGGGTGACAGGGTCTCCTTGGAGGTCAAGGGAGGGGATTGTCCTCCTCTGCCGGGCACTGTGAAACTGTGTCCTCAGTCGGGCATCCCAATATGAGAGATGTCAACAAACTGGAACGAGTCCAGTGGAGGCCACCAGGATGGGTGGGAGCTGGAGGACGTCACGTAGGGGAAAGGCTGAAGGAAATGGGCTTGTTCAGGCTGGAGGAGATGGGTCAGGGAAGACCTTGTGGCTGTCTGCAACCACTTAATGGGTGTTACAGAGGGGAGGGAGCCAAACTCTTTCTCAGAGATGCACAGTGAAAGGACGAGAGGCAACAGCATGAGTTTCACTGAAGGAAATTCAGGTTTGATGTAAAATAAGAACTCTTCACAGGGAGGATGGTCAAAAATTAGCACAGGCCCAACAAGGTGGTGGGATCTCCATCCTCGGAGCTCTTCAAACCTTCTTTAGACAAGACCTTCAGCAGCCTGACTCAGCTTTGAAATTGGCCTTGCTCTGAGCAGGGCATTGGACCAGACCCTTCCAGAGATCCCTTCCAACCTCCGTAATCCTTTGGTTATTCCAGGGGAGGACCAACACTGTTGCCCAAAACTGTGCTGGGACCTTTCACACCCCAGCATGCCCCACGCAACCAGCAGCTTTGAGGAGCCAAGCCCATGCACCACTCTGCATCTGGGGCGGCAGGGCTGGATGGGCACTCACAGTAGGCTCTCTCCACGAACACGCCAGCGGTGATGGCAGAGAAGAGAACCACGCAGACGATATGGCGCCGGTAATTCTCAACGAAGCGCTTGAACTCCTGGATCTTCTGCTGAACTTTGTTCCGCTCGTACTTCTTCCGTTGCGCTTCGGTGTATAAATGCAGCTGGTACTGATTCACCCTGGCAAAAAGAGGAGGGCTGTGTCATTTTGAGGCTTAGCTGGCAAGGTATGGCTCTGGGCCATGCTGCCCAGATTTGGGTCTTCCTCCCTGTACAGCGCTGCGACCACCTCTGTGTCACACCAGTGACAGCAGTGACCTGCAGAGCACAGTGTCAGTGGCTGATCTCAGGTCAACCAGCAGTCTACATGCCTTTGAAAGCTGATAACAAACGTGCAGATAGCGACTCATAAGTGAAATTGTACATAAGAACGGTAAAAGATAATTTTCATAGTAATATTCAACTCTCCTGTGCTGGTTTTGGCTGGTATAGTGTTAATTTTCTTCATAGTAGCTAGTATGGGGCTGTGTTTTGGATTTGTGCTGGAAACAGTGTTGATGACACAGGGATGTTTTAGTTACTGCTGAGCAGTGCTGACACAGGGTCAAGGGCTGTTCTGCTCCTCACCCCACCCCACCAGCGAGGAGGCTGGGGGGCACAAGGAGCTGGGAGGGGACACGGCTGGGAGAGCTGACCCCAGCTGACCAAAGGGATATTCCACACCTTAGGGCGTCATGCTCAGCATATAGAGCTGGGGGAAGAAGAAGGAAGGGGGGATGTTCAGAGTGATGGCGTTTGTCTTCCCAAGTCACTGCAACGCGTGATGGAGCCCTGCTTTCCTGGAGATGGCTGAACACCTGCCTGCCGATGGGAAGGAGTGAACGAATTCCTTGTTTTGCTTTGCTTGCGTGCGCGGCTTTTGCTTTACCTGTTAAACTGTCTTTATCTCAACCCACGAGTTTTCTCACTTTTGCTCTTCCCATTTTCTCCTCCATCCCACCGGGGGGGAGTGAGAAGGCAGCTGGGTGGGGCTGACTTGCTGGCTGGGGTTAAACCACGACACCTCCAAACTGATCCCAGGGTAGGGGAAGGTCCTTGGGGCGATTAAGGCAAATCAGGATATTCTGGCCATGAATAACAACCACTGAACTGCTTCCTTGTAGAAATATTTGCTGCTGCTGTCACAGCAGTGAGGACCAGAGTCTCTCCTGCAGCTCTTGCAGGCAGCCCACGGGTGAACCAGCAGCATCCCACGGTGCAGAGGAGCACAGGCAGAACCTGCCCGGCAAAGCCCCGCACCGCGGACAAGGCATACACTCTAAAACCCACTATCCCAGGCTCTGGAGTTGACCACTTCATTTTTTTTTTATAGAGGCACATCACCCAGACCCAGCTACGGCACCGTCCCCACCGAGACAGGGCTGTGCCCGTAGCTCCTCGGCCAGCTAGAGGCTGCGATGTGCCCGCCTGGGCTGGGGCATCTCCTGCGCGGACGGTCTCGCGTCCCCTCCCTATGTTGCACCACCGTCACGGGGGTGCTGGCTCCTTGCAGCAGTGCCGTTTGACCGGAGGGCTACCCACTCTGACACATGAGCAACAGCAAACAGGCTGAACCTGAACCCGAGCAGTGAGCCCGGCGAGGAGAGGGCGTACTCACTTTCTGCCTGGTCTCTTCCTCAGCTCTTGCCCTTCTCGCTCCACGTAGTGGTTCACGGTGTAGAGGTTTGGGTCTTTCTCCTCCTCTAAGATGGTTCTGTTGGGAATAGAGCTATGTCTAGCCCAAAGCTGTACTTGCAGGAAGGGCTTGCCAAAATTGTCCCCATTTCCCCACTTTCTATCTCAGGCTCAGCTGAGGTGTCCAGGTCTTTCCTGCAAGCATTAAGTTTAACTGCACAGTACACAGGCCGGATCCACTCAAGATCACCCTCCCCTCTGAAAAGCAAGATAGGACTCCCGTCCTCACGTAGCAGATGCCACGGGGGCTCTGCAGGAGGTGGTTCCTCCCCTCGGCCTGCCTGGGTGCCAGGGGAGGAGGCCAGCAGCCCCACCGCAGCATCTGGCTCGCTCAGGGCCATGTCCCAGCACGGTCACCCCCTTCCCCAGCACTGGGCGTGCAAACACCTGGTGGGAGCATCTGTTGGAGGGGCTGAGGTGAAAGATGGATGTGCATCTGGGCAGAAAGAGTAGAAGAAATAGCAGCAGCAGCAAGACTAAGGAGGAGAGCTTACCCTTTTGGCTCTTTCTTTTTTATGAAGGAGACGCGGTTGTGCAGGTTTTGCTTGAGCACCGTGGGGACACCTTTCAGGAGCCAAAAGGACAAAGAGCTGTTTAGAGTGTGTGAGATGCAGTGGACAAGATTTAGGCATCTTCCCTGGGCAGGGGTGGGGAGAGGCTCTGAGCTGACCCAAACGTGTCCTACATGGAGCGACAGCTGATGCCCCATTACTGCGGTTGGGCTGGAGAGACTGATGGGACAAGGTTTGGGAGCTACGCATGGGGTGCTGCCCACTGCCTCCAGCCCTGCACGGCCTGGGGTGACCCAGTGCTCCGGCGCACTGACCTTTGATGCAGAGCTGGGTGAAACGAAGCTCGCTGTCGTGGTCCCGCAGCATGTAGTGGAAATCCTCCCATGTCAGCTCATCCCTGTCCTGAAACCCTGAGGCCCGAAACATGGACTCGGTCACCTGCTCTGCCTGGTCTCTTGACAGGCAGTTGTTGGAGATCTCGATGAAGGACCTGGAGGAAGGAGGGGAGACGGGAACTTTAGAGGACTACAGCTTGAGTCCTTCAAATAACACGGGGCAGAGCCCCAGACCAGTTTCACAGGAGAAATGGGCTCTTGGTTGCGAGTGTTGAGCCCATGGGCTCTCACATAGCACCCTTGGGGAGTGAAGCACAGAAACTGGGAGCTGCTTTTGAAGACGTCTGTGTTTACAGACATTGTGAAAACATGTAGAGACATGAGGGGAAGTACCTGAGCATCCTCAGAAACTCCTTCTTGGAGAGGAACCCATTCTCATCAATGTCATACATCCTGAACATCACCTTGGACTTCTCCTCTGGGGACCCTGATGGGGAGGGAGAGAGGCGAAGTAAGAACAAGATCCTATTTTCATCAGCAGAAGTGCTTTCAAACATTGTCTTTGAAAGTCTGGACCTGCAGCAGTGAAGTCTCACCCAGTTCTGAAAAGACTGAAAGCACACCGCTGGTCACAGCTTGAATAGTGACTGAATGTAAATAGCGTGTCGCCCTTCTGCTTGACTTTCTCAAGTGCAAGGTGAAAAATCAGGTAGATACACATTCTTTCTTGTGCATTATTTTGCAAACTCAAAATGTGCTTTTGCACAGCAATGATTTTTCTGGGAACTGCTTTGAATCTAGTATTCACCACCTCCATCTATGAATCTACCTTTCCAGTGGTCATTTAGGGGGGATCAGATATGACTGTTATCATCTGTCAAGGACAGGATGCATGGTCCATTCAGAAGATGGGCAGACTTGTCTATAGTGGTGACAAATCAGCAAATCACTGCTCTGAGATAGCTCCCCTGATGGACAGTCTTACAGAAAACATAATTACATTGTCACTGCCCCATAACTCAAGTTGAAGCTGTCCTAAGTGAAGGGAATTTTAGTCTGTAGAAGTGTCTACAGATTGACCTGCTGGATGGATCTTGTCCTTCACTCTGCTGGTGGTGTTGCCAGAGCCTAGAAACAGGACTTAGGGCAACAGATGAAGACTAGCTCCAGCTCCCACCTTTCATGAAGACCACCAAAATGTCCAGGAACTCCCGGAAGGAGATGTAGCCATTGCCGTCTTTGTCAGCCAGGGAGAACATGGAGTCCACAAACATGGAGTCGGCTTTGAGCCCCAGGGCCGTGGCAAACTCAGCCCGGCTCAGCTCACATGTCAGAGACTCCTTTGCCTTCTGTGAAGATTCAAAGTTGAGCTCTCCGGCATCGGACCTGTCGATTTCCAGCACCTGCAGGTTGTGTCCCACAAAAGAAATCCCATGAGTGCTGGCTGAGCAGAAGGCTGGTGTTCACTTGCCCAACCTATTGCACAGAGACCGGTGGCTCCCCTGGCACAAAACTCATGGCAGATACCATGGGGAAGTCCTGTGTCTCTCCTACACAATTTGACTTTCACACTAAACACCACTGACCATTATGGAGACCTCGGTTACATCATCTGAAAGTCTCTTTGCAACTTCAGACACTTATATCACCACAGCAGAACTCCCTTTGTCTTCTGCAAGGGAAAATGTCCCTTGGTCCTGAAAGTATCGGCAGTTTCCTTGTGCATGGCTTACCAGCTCTTATGGAAAGCAACAGCAGCAACATTCATTGCTTAATCAATACAGAAATACCTTCCTCCATGCATCAGAGCCTGCCACACCTCTACATACCTGAGCAAACAGGTGCCTGAAGAAAGTCTCCAGAATTTGTTTCCTCTGCTCCTGGGTGATTGCCCGTTTCATCAGGCTCTGCTCCTTCATCTCAGACATATGCAGATCAAGGCTGCTCTCCTCCAAGTAGCCTCGTAGCTTCCCAATGAAGTTGCTCCTCTCTGCCTCCTCACTGAAAAGCAGCACCTGCAAAAGACCCCACCGAATGGCTGTGAGCAGCAGAGGCTCAGTCAGGATGTGAGTGCTGCTGCTCTTCACCACAGTGGTTGCTCCATGGTATGAGCTGGACCTGGTGGTTCTCAGGAGGCCACAGCCACCCTTCAGGGACCTATGCTGCTCCCAGTGCCCAGGACTGAGTGGTGCAGGATGTATGTGACCAGTGGCAGAGGATGGTGGAGGGTCCAGGGGAAGGTATCATACCCCAGGCATTGTGGTACTCACCAGGTCGTACTCCTTGGGGCTCTTCAGGAGCAGAGCTTTGTTCCCTTTGTTGCTAGAGAGGATGACCTCCACCCTTTGATGGGCTTTCAGGCTGATGCTCCGGAGCACAGACCCTCTCCCATCCAGCACTTTGAGCGCTTTGTCAGCTTGGAGCTGAATGTAGACAGGAGAGCTGTCCGTCTTGGGACCGTGCCACTCCATGGCTGGTGGGAGAGAGCACAGGACTCAGATGGAAAGGCTGTGCCCCATTCATCCCAGCACCTCCTTCACCAAGATGCAGCTGGGGAGTGATTGCATGACCAGACACACGTTAAGGGAAAAATGATGATCTCCCAACTGCAGAGCTCAAGCGCATGGACAGTGGAGGAGTACAGACCATGGAGCAGGAAGGCAGGATTTTTCCAGTGTCCAGGACAGGGAGATACAGTCCCTGTCCTGGAGCTACTGGTGCAATTGCTTTACATAGGTTTCCTTCAGATAAGGTATGGTCTGGAGAGGATAGTGACTAGAGGGTCATAGGATGACTCGGGTTGGAAGGGACTCAGGTTGGAAGGGTCTCTCATCCAGCCTCCTGCCTAAAGTAGGACCAGCTATGTGGTCAGGCCAGTCTGCTCAAGCCTTTATCCAGTCAGGTCTTGGATAGGACAGACTACACAACCTCTCTGGGCTACCTGCTCCACTGCTTAACTATCCTCTGGGGAAATAGTTTCTCCTTATATCCAGTCTGGATATAAACTCCAAGCCAAGCCCTGCCTGTATGTGCCCTGACTTTAGCAGCATCACCAGACACCATTGCAGGACCAACAGTGCCGCCTCACCGCGTATCGCCTCGCCGGTCACCTCCCTCCGCACGCTGGAGCTCTGCTGCTTCTGCAGCTTCTTGAAACCTCTTTCGCGGAGAAAGGCAACAATCCAGGCAACAAAGAGAGTCACTGGGGACACATGGGAGGAGGAAGAAGCATGAGACATCACAAAGCTCCTTCCTGCTTTGGCAGCATCACCTGTATAACTGGGGCAGACGAGTTTATTCTTCCCCATTTAATATTTTACTTAATGCAGGTTTTATTTAATGCAGGGCTGCACCATGAAAGTCCTGCTCCCACCTGATGCCTAAGGACCCTGACACCTCAAGGACCTCAAGAGTGGCCAAGACTCAGCAGCTCCTGCTGGGAGGTGCTTGGTCTGTCGGCACTCAGCTGCTTTCTCCGGTGGAAGAGGAGATGGGTAAAGAAACGGAGCAACAAACCTAAAGGCAGACAGCAGAGGACAACGATGATGATCCCAAAGCCTGGGCCGCTGCCTTCGAAGTAGTCCAGTACGGTCATGGGCGTGCAGTTGGTCAGATGTTGAGTTGTCAGCTGCTGGGGCTGGGGGCATGGGTCTCCTGCATAGGGGTAGACAGGCTGTGAGTGTCATGGACTTTTTACCCCTCTCATCTCCATCGTCCCCAGGAACCTATGCATTAAGATGCTGGTGGGGTTCATTACTGAGTGACCCAGGGAGCACTGCAAAACTGGGATGCTTGAGTTAAACTCCAGATCTTAGGAGACAACCCTTGCTTTCGGGTTGAACCTTTGCCTGCTACAGCAAACCAAGTGCAAAACTGGACTCAAGCACTCTGGGAGTTCAGCACCATCACCTCTCCCGATGGGATGGGCTGAGCAAGAAGCACTCTGGACCATGGCAAATTGGGATTCAGAGCCTCTGCTCATCCGTATTCTGCAAATCCAGGGAGTCCTTCTGGTGCAATTACATGGAGTGTTGTCGTGATTTACCCCCAGCCAGCAACTAAACACCACGCAGCTGCTCGCTCACTCCCCACCTCTGGTAGGATGGGGGAGAGAGTTGGGAGGGCACAAGTAGGAAAACTCGTGGCTTGAGTTAAAAACAATTTAATAAAGGAAATAAAACAAAGATTAACAGTAATAAAAACGATAACAACAACAATAATAGAATATACAAAGCAGGCGATGCACAATGCAACTGCTCACTAACCGCAGACCAACGCCCCAGACCATCCCGAAACGCGAGAGCCTCTTGCCCTGGTTTTTATACTGAGCATGATGTCACATGGTATGGAATACCCCATTGGCCAGCTGGGTCAACTGCCTCAGCTATGCTCCCCACCCAGCTTCCCGTGCACCTGGCAGAGCATGGGAGGCCAAAAAGTCCCCAGTGCGAGCACCACCCAGCAACAACCAAAGCATCAATGGGCCATCAACGCTCCTCTCGTACCAAACCCAACACACAGCACACCCCAGCCACTAGAAAGAAAGTTAACTCTATCCCAGCTGAAACCAGGACAAGTGTTCGCCAAGGGAACCAAAACATCTTGCAGGGGCTGGAATGCGTGCCAGATAAAACACTTTTGGTAAATGGGAAAGCTGTGGCAAGATCCCGAGAGGAAAAGGCATACTGCTGTGTTTGGCCACACCTCACCCTGAGCATGGCAGCAGGACTCTTTTTGGGTCTCGGTGGGGAGAGGAAAGCTCATTTCGAGGACAGCACGGAAGGACACCAGGGTGAGGGGGGCAATCAGCACGGGACTAGGCTACTCCTAGCCTTGCTGCGAACCCAAAATTTGCTGAGACACAAGCCCTGAGCTCTCCCTGGGCTGAAATCTGGCTGCCACAGTTCATGCTGCTGTTGCAACAACATCTGCAGGAAAGCCTGGCCAGCCCTTCCAGCAGCCCTGGTTAACCAAGAACCCCGTCGGTGGAGCAGCTGGGCAAGAGTGGGCATTGCGGTACGGCACCCAGGGCACATTCAGGAGTTGATGCAATTAAAGGCAAAAGTAGGTAACGTTACACAGTTACAGTATGCAAAGCTTTACCCATCTGCAAACTTCATCACTTTTTGGGCCACTTATCAGTTTAACCTGCAGACCTGTGTGTGCTTGTATATCAAAGGAGCTAGAGGATACATCAGTGAGGAGCGTGACACAGCGTGGGGTAGGCAGAGGCCAAGTTTTAACCCCAGCATGACCTTCCAGGGCATCAGTTCCATTTTTGTACCTGGAGATCTTTCCAAGACTCATGCAATGCACATGCCTGGACTTCAGCTCACTTTCAACATCAGCACTGCTCACCTGCCTTACAAGCAACCCTTGCATTTTGCACACATTTTGCTGTCTTAGGGGCATAGCAGGTGTCAGGCTTGAGAAAATGCCAGCCCGATGCTTTCCCTGTGTCACTGAGTCACCGTCTGTGTCACCGAGACGGGTCTGCTTTCCTCCTTAACTCGATAGTGCCGTTTGCTCCCCGCACCCTGCTGTTTGCACTTACCCTCATTCCAGACGAACACGTGGGGCTGGAGGTCTGTGGGGTCCACGTGGGTGACGGCAACCAGGACATCATGGAAGGTTGTGTTACGGATCTGCCTGGTTTCCTCCGCTGTGAACAGCCTGGGGAAAAAGACGTGGGGCCAAGCGGTGGCCCTGGGTGTCACTGTCTAGCGGCAGGAGGGATTAGCTCCCCACACTGTTTTAGGAACCGAGGAAGCTGGAGGATGTTTTTTTTCCTCCAGCCCCAGTTGTTATGTCTTACTGGGGCTGGCAGAGCAGTGGGCAGCCTGCTCTTTGTGCCAGACGGGGAGGAGACATTTACCCGTTTTTGGTGTTTTCGAACCAAAATCTGTCGCCATCACGCAGGCGCACAAACTGGTCCAGGATGATGGCACTGAAGAGGGAGCCGTCAACCTCCAGCATGCCTCCAGGGAGCAGCTCCAGCCCGGCCGTGTTGTTGGCATACAGAGCAGCGACCTTCTCCAGGACCTGGCCATAAACCCCCACCGCGCACACTTGTGAGCAGAGGGAATTCTGCCAGGGCCCCAGAAAGCCTTGGCAAGCCTCAGGAGGAGCGAGGAGCGTGCATTTCCCAGGCATCGCACATCTGTGGGCTGGGAGGATGCTCAGCCCCACACAGCCTTGAGCTCATGGCTTGGACTTGAGCAACTGAGCACCACTGCCAGAGCATCTCAGCTCCAGGAGGAGCAGAACACCCAGCGGCACAGGAGATTAGCACTGGGGCAGGATGTATTTATTCATGCCACGTAATTACACAGTTACCCCAATGCAACAGCCCCGCAGGCATGAAAATGAGCTAGGGCAGGGTGCGCACTGATGTCCCTCTTCCTACGCTGCTGGAGAAGCCAGTTACTGCCTGGACTGCCCCAACTTTCTTTGACCCACACACTTTCCGTGCCCAGACCAGTTCCCTGTTACCTGTTGCTCAAGGTGTGGGGCAAGGTCCGACCAGTTCTGGAGAGTCTCCAATCCGAATCGCTCCCGGGCTTGGTTATAGGTGGGCAGGCCAAGGTCTCGTCCGCGCTGGAACCAGCTGGCCACATAGTCGGTGCGGGAGTACTTCAGGGGCCCGTACCAGTAATCTGTGTGTGGATTCGAAGCCATGGTGATGGCAAGGCAGAGCTGGAGGAGCAACCCCAACCATCCCAGCTGCTGGGCTGGCCTCATCCCTCTGCCATGGGCCATGCTAAACATGGAGGGCATCTCCATGCCCGTGCCAGGAATGTCCCAGAAATATGCTTAACATGCCCTGCAGCTTCTCTGCACTTCCATTAACAAGGTTGAAGCTGGTCTGAGCATGTGGTTGGGTGCTGATGATGGTGGTGATGGGATCTGTCTCCCCACCTTGGCCCCCACACACCCCAGGAGAGAGGGTCCCCCACCGACGCGCCAGCTGCAGTGCAGACCTTGGAGATCTTCCACCACAATGTTGTCCTCCCGCTCTGCAATCTGTGAGCTCATCCCTAGCAGGAGGTTTTCCACGTCCTCTGCCTGCTGTGGCCCGGTGCTCTGAGGCAAGATGGGAAGAGCAGGTGATGCATCGCGGGTCTGAGGACATAGGGCAGCCCCACATCCCTGAACCCATAGGGGTGCAGAGCCTGTGTGTAGGGGTACAAGGGATTTCTTCCAGGCTCATTTTCACCCTTGAGGTCTGAGCCTGCCGTGGCTCAAGGCGGCATCTGGGGATGTCTGGATGGGGAGGATCTCACACCCCTTGGTTAGCTGTCATGCTCCGTGCCCAATTTCCCCTTCACCTCCCTGTGGGGTCATCCGCACCATAAAGCAAGGAATGAAGCCCCTCCTGCCAGCCTGCCACGTCCTCAGGACCCCTGTGCTCCCTTCCCCATACCTCTCTGCTCCAGTAGCTGTTGCAGAGCCGCACCGCTGGGAATGAGCCACCGGGGCCGGGCACTTTCTGGAACTGGCACTTGGGCTCTCTGGAACAGCAGAGAAGGGCTGGACCCACAGCCCCTGGCTGGGGCTACCCCAAGCTGGCTGGGCTTCTCTGTCCCAGCAAGGGGCAGGACACAGGGGAAGGGACGGGGACCATCCCCACCACCACCCCAGCTCAGGCATCCCCTTCCCTGCCGTGGGCACTGCTCTCCCACGGCCCTGCCGGGCTGCTCCTACCTCTTGTAGATGCCCGGTGGCACCATGGTGGCCAGGAATTGCCCCGCAGCCACTACGAACTCCGGCGAGAGGCTGGGGTCCAGGTGCTGCTGGTAACCTGTTGGGCAGCAGCCACGGTCCAGCTGGAGGGAAAGGGGGACGAGCCCCCTCTCTCACCCCATCCTCTGGCTCCCCTGGTCCCCCTGCCCCTGCTCCCCGCACACCCTGCAGCTCCATCATACACCATGCCCCTCACCTTTGTACTCCGGGACGGGTCTCCCCAGCAGGGTCGGCAGCCACTCGTACAGCACGATGCTCTGGGGCACAGGGCAGTCAGGTCAGGGACAGAGCTGGGGAGGGTATTGGGGGTCCTGGGAGAGCTGGGGGGTCCCATCCCTCACCTGGAAGGTGGCGATGACCCGCTTGCGAGTGTGTTGGAAGAGGTCCTCATCAGACCAGGTGGGGTGTACCTGGGCCAGCGCCGCGGCCAGGTGGTTGTGGTACTGAAACCAGGCGATGCTCTCAGCTTGCAGGAAGCGGTTCTCGTTCCCCCAGGCGCTTCCCAGGTCTGCAGGAGATGCCAGGACCATCAGTGCGGGATGCCGCCACTGCATCTAGCTTTGCCTATGGCCGGAGGAGCAGCCCCAGCCCTGGGGCTGCAGCCCAGCATCCCCTCGTCCCCTCACCCTTCCTTCCTCCCCAGGGAGAGCAGCAGTGAGAAGCAGCACCGGGCCCCCAGCACGGACCAAAGGTTGGGCAAGAGAGGAATTAAAAGCAAGCTGAGCAGGTTTTTATTGGCAGCAGCCCCTTTCCCCCAGAGGAGATGATTGCCTTGGATCAGAGGGACCAGAACCCACCGGTCTCTGTGTGTTGGCTGGGAAATGACCCACTGCCTCCCAGGGATGCGGCACCTTAAGTTCATGGTGGTTCTTTGCTGGTAAGCCTTCAGCGGGGCATGCATCTTCCTCCCCCTCGGACTGGGAAACTGCCCCAGGACTCCTGACCCATGTGTCCTGGCTCACCGCACCCCTCTGCCCTTTCCTGGGGTCCCCTCTGGGCTGGGCTCCAGCAACCTCCTGCTCCCCCTGCTCATGGTCAGGGATGGAGCCAAGCAAGTGAAAACCCATTGAGGATGCCACCATTACCGTAGATCCCCTGGGGACCACCCTGTCCCGTGGATGGATCCAGCGCCCTCCACATGGGGACTCTCCCGTCCGTCTCCCTCGGGAGGCGCCCGCCGGGCCCCGAAGCCAGCCGTCCCCCCGAGAAGCTCCTCAGGGCATCGCTCCAGGAGTGCAAGGGGCCGTAGATGGAGCTGCCATCCAGCCAGCCCGTCACCTCGTTGGTCTAGGGCAGGCATGGAGAACGGGCATTAACAGGCGCTGGGGTTCTCGGCGGAAAGGTGCAAAAAGAAGGTCTGAAAAGTCCCAACCTGGCCCTTTTGATCTTGCAAAGCAGCCACCCCATCCCCTGTTTTAACAAGAGCTATCAGGATGCAAATATTTACACTGGCTATCTCTATGCAAACTGGAGGAATTAGTGCCAGGTACAGGAAAAGACCAGGTACAGGTTTTTCAAAAGTACATTTCGAGGTTTTTTTCCCAATTATTTTCAGCTATGCCCGGAAGCAGACAACTGTGAATCCCTACGTAGGCAAGACGAAGCTGGAAGGGGAATAAACCCGTCTCTGGGGAAACTGGAAACACTGGAGCTTTCTACTCTGGGGAGCCCTGTCCTCACAGCAGGGAGTCCCACTGCCCTGGCAGCAGCTGAATATCTCCCCTGCCAAATATTTTCATGAAAACATCCTTTTTAGTCTGAAAACATGCTGGAGTTTTCATTTTTCTAAGGTTTGAAGTACTGCTAAAAACATGACTTGCTAATCTGGTCTCATCATGGTTTGTCACGTGAAAGGTTCAGGGGAGTATCTTCCTTCGGCGATTTTGATTGGGAAGCTTTCCAGCATGGAAGAAAAAGCACATGGGCTTGGGAACACATCCAGCCTCAGCACAGCAAAATAGGGAGAAACTGGGGGAAAACCTGGATTTTTTCCAAAATGACTGAAATTCAGAGAAGCTTTACAAGTTTACAACTTTATGACAGCACCGACTCAGTTTTGTGATGCATTATTAAAGACAAGAATTGGTGCCTAAAAAAATGTGCCATAATTACTGACCTTCTAGAGCGGCACAAGTGTACAAATTGGCTACGGAAGTTCATTACACTTGTACCAAAAAGGCTTCAGTTTTCACTTGTTTGACCCGATACAGACAGCCCTACCTTTGCTCATTTTGACTGAAGTGACAAAAACTTTGGCAGCTAAGGAAGACTACGAATTGCTCCTGCTTTACCCTTTCCTCTTCTGCCCTCCATAAACCATGCAAGATACTCAAATTTGCATTAAAACAGATAACACAGGCAGATTTAGAGTAATTACGTTTTCTTCGGCCAAGAAAAGCGCTGACCTTGAGCAACCACAAATGTTGCTCCATGTGAACCCGTACCTTGGAGGTTGTGCTTTGGGTTCATTTGCAATTGGTTCAAACACTTGTTAGACATATATTTTTAAGGAAACAGTGGTGCTCTCCTTTTATTTTTGCAAACACTGTCTTGGCTGCTACAGACCCCAGTGCTGGGTGAAGAGGAATTTAGCCAAAAGGCAAAGAGCAAAGGAAACGCTGCCTACCTGTTCCCGGGGGCTGTTGGGGCTCAGCCCCGTCTCTGTCGCCCACTGGATGCGCTGGAAGGGCAGGACCACGTCTCCGGTGCCTGCAGGGTCAAACACGGGGTCTCCGGATGGGATGTGGATGTTCAGGAACTCAGCAGGGCAGCCGGGTTTCTCCGTCCCCAGGATGTCCAAGAGCACGTGGAAACCTGCCAGAGACCCAAGCATGGTCAGCAGCTGGGAGGACTGCCACCAGCACCTGGAGCAGGATGTGATAGTGGGCAGCTGAGCCATACATGGGCTGTGGGGACCACCCCATGCACCAAGAGTGGTTTCCTTCCTGCCTTCACTGCTGGTTTGCTCCACAACTTTGAAAAAGTCACTTTGGGCTGGAGCCCAGATGTACTGAGCTCCAGCCCACAGGAACAGGGCTCCAGGTGCCCCTGGCCAGACCTCATGAGTAGTGTAGGGTCATTCAGGGACCAGGGTGGAGAAAACTCAGCCAGCGGATGTTCAGACACCACTGGCAGCTGGACCATCTGCTGGCCACCAATTCACCAGGAGCAAGGCTCTGCATTTAGCCACTATTTCCCTGAGCTCCTTCTTGCCTGTGGCCTTCAAGGCTAAGGGTTGCTGCTGATGCTGAGCCCGGTGGCTGCCATTGCTGTTGGCCCATTTGAGCTTTGGTGTGACGGGAAAAACTACCTCCAAGGAGAAGCTAAATGGTACCGCACTAGTGTCCGCCCCTCCTGTGGCCCACCTTGGGGCTGAGCACCCCAGCTTGGGTCTCTGGGGATGTGTATGGACTTTAAGCTGTATGGGGAGCTAATTGTCTCCACTTCTTCGACACGTTCAGCCTGTTTTCTCAATGAACTGAGGCTATTTCCCAGAGACAGACAGCCTAGAGCTTGGAGACCCAAGACCCCGCCGAGCTCCTGATCGACAGCAAAAACTGCTCCAACTTGCAGCGATTCTGCCCAGCAATCACTCACGGCGCAGCTCTTATCGCATCTTTTAGGTGTTTTGCAACGAGGTAACTCTATCACTAAAACAAATGAGGAAGTTCCCAAACGACAAATATCAGCATTTGTGGCAACTGCTGAAGGTCATCAAAAATTCATGCAAACTCTCTTGTCCGGACAATACTTTGGTATGGCGATACCCAAGGCTTTGTCTTTTGGGTGTGGGTCTGCTATGAAGTGATGGGTGAGGAGCGCTCTGACGCATAGCCTTGGGGTGCGATAAACCAATATTTTTCCACTCAAACCAACATTTTTCGACCTGGTGCCAGGCCCCAGCTCTTACCGAAGAAGACGGCCAGCACAGTTGTGTTCCTGCGGGAGGGCAGCCCAGAGGGTCCCCGTGCCACTGCGTTGCTGAGCTGGCGAGCGTTGGGCACACGGGGCTCCTGCAGTGCCTGGTAGACGCCATCCGCGTAGTTGGCCGGCAGGAGACGCAGCAGCCTGGCACCTGCGGCACCAAAGCAACACGGCGTGGGTCCAGCGGCACCCGACAGATGGGGGATGCAGCAATAGCGGGGTATACCAGCATGTGCGAGGGTCCCAGAAGAGAGCAAGAGGATGGCATGGACGCTTATAGTGGCCAAGAACACACAAGTTTTGGTACCAACACCCAAAACTTCTTGCAACACTGGGATCAGTTCTCTTAAAACTAGGAGGGATCCTCCATGGGCATGTTCCCTTCCAGTTGTCCTTCTCTGGTCCATGTGCACCCCTGTTGCCTCCTGGAGGTCTGGGGTGGTGTGCTCCAGTGGGTAACTGGAGTGATAAGCTGGCCGTGTTGACTATGCAATCCTACACAAGCATGGTGATTGACAACACCATAGAAAACAGGAGAGGGAACAGACGGAGAGGTAGAGAGACAAGGGAGAAGACAAAAGAGAAACACCCTGACTTTCCACTCACTGCCTGTCCCATAACTGAAAAGCCTGGAGGCAGGAGCTCGTTTCTCACTGATGAGCAAGTTCATTTCGAAAGACTCTTCACCAGTGTGGTGGGCTTCATCTGCTGGAGCTCCCCAGAGCTGGGGGAAATCCTGAATTACTGATTTAGTTTCAGGCTTAGTTTCCATAGGTTTGTTTCCAAATGTTAAGGTCTGATCTCTCTGCTCTGGAAGAGGGAGGTCTTGTCTGCCAGGGATCTCCCTGACAGTCTTGGGTGTAACCAAAGGGCTGATGACACATGTCATGTTGGAGAGCCATTTGGACTTAGAGGAAGGTGTGCAATTGCCACTGTGCCTTGTGTCACCGTGTAGGCGACCAATCTGGGCTGCAGGAAACAGGAAGATTCATAATGTTTAATATTTTAGATAAGGTCCTGCCTGATCTGCCCTGGTACCTGGCTCAGGGACATCTCCTGGAGGTGGGCCCATGGGCTGGTTGTAGGCATAAGAAAGCAGCTCACCACTGGCACAGGGAAATCCCGCATGCCTGTCCCAGTACAGACCAGTACATGCTGCACAGTAGCCCAACAGCACAATATCTGTCCTGTGCAGATGGAAAAGGAATAGGTCCAGCATGCCCAGACCATGAACTCTTCTGTCTCTGGCCTTGTGTTGAATTCTGATTGAACTGCATGCTGATTTTGGCTAAAGATGCCTTTTCCCAGCTCTGGGATCCCTGAACATCACTGAATCGCCTGCTGGGAATAGCTGGGTCCTCCCTACCTTGGGTATTTTTAATGGCCCCACAAAGCCACAGCTCTGCTCTGGGATGGATCCAACACCAGCGTGACCTGCAGATGGTGGCTGGGCAACAGGTAAAAATGGCAAGGCCAGGCCAGGGAGACAAAGCTGGGCTGCTTGGCCCCTCCAGACTGCTCTAACAGGGCTCTTAGGTGCATCTAGGGACCTACCTTGAGTGCAAAGAGCCACCTCTCAGGTCCATGGGAGGTGGCATTGCCTGGTCACCTGGTCACCTGCCTGGTTCAGGCTCAGGTCAGAAAGGGTTTCTCTCTCAGTCATAAAGCGAGCCAGATGCCAAAGTGCCGCCTCGCCCCATCCCGCCATCCCCATCCCCAGGCCTGGCACTCACCCACCGAGCCGCGGCTGTGGTACAGCAGGTTGTTGTACCAGCCGTCGTAGCGCTGGACCTCCCAGGAGATGTTCTCCTGGGCTCCTGGAAAAGACCGGATTCACTTGGTGAGCAGCAAAAAAATTGCATGAAACGAGCATCTCCATTACAAAATTATATTTATATTGTGATATTTTCCTATATTCTTTTTGAAACTTTCTGTACAAACAGTTTTTTAGACAAGTTTTGCACTCCTTTTGAGGGATAAGCAATGTCTAACATTAGAAATTCATGCTGTGATCCTGATGTCCCCAAATCAATTTCTGGCCCCCACCAGTCCACTCCCAAAAGATCTTAATTTTCTCCTTCTCTCTCATTCTATCAGGAGAAGTCCCTCCTTACTTCTAACCCCCACAATGTCCATGTGAGTCAAGCAAAGGCCTTGACACTGGAGTTATGCTCTCCCCCGTGCATTGTGTATCAGCATCAGCCTTTGTCAATAAACATATACTTTGTTTCCTTTGTGTTAATTTTTACTGCTTTATTAGAATACTAGCAAGAAGCTCCAGTTCCTGGTTACAAGCTGTGTACACATATAAACAGCAGTAGGTGAGTCTCCCAACCTGCAGCCTCTGCAAGTTTAGCATTTTGCTCTATTTTTTTCTTATCTCATCACAAACAGAATCATCCCCATCTCTGGTATGATGCCCCATGAGTTAGAGGAAATTCCTCTGAGGGGCAGAAACTGTCCAGGATCTCCCCTTGGATCCCCTTCCCTGAAACCGTACTTACTCCCCAAGGTCCACGTCACCAGCAGAACCACGGTCAAACTCAACATCATCTCCACGGGTTTCATCTGCCACCGGGTCTTTGGAAGCAGCGACCTGCAAACGGAGAGGAGAAGGAGGGAGCTGGAGCTGGGCTGTTTCCCGGAGGCTGGGAACACGCACAGACCATAACCTCAGCTCCCTCTTGTGGTTTCTGCTGCCTGGTAAAACCCCGCTGCCATCATCATCCATCAGCAGTATCTCCCAATTCGGGCTATGGGAAGGCGGCAGGGGGCACGGGAGACCCCACCACCCTGGGAAAGCTCTGTCAGGAGATGCCAACCAGCCTGAGAAGACCTTTCTGCTGGAGCAGGACCAGTAACCCCTGCCTCGGAGTACCCTACCTGTAGGTTCACAGCTCATCATCCGCAGCAGGAAGACATTAAGCTGCGCCAGCTCCGTTATAGAAACACGCTCTTCATTACAGAAGCAGTCACGTTTCAGCTGGCAATTTCTCTGCGCACGCATTGTCCCATCCAAGCAAAACCCAGCTGTGAACGTGATGGGAACAGCCTCAGCGTGCAGTCAGGTGCCCCAAAGTGTGCTAATGCTGCAGATCAAGACCTCTTGATCCCCTCTGGGCTAACTCGACGGCACTCTCTCATGACCAGCCTTTCTCATGACGCTTTACCATCTCACTTTCCACAAAGGCCCTGGGTCCAGAGCAAATTTCATCAGTGGGACCTGAACCTTTAAAACCCCAGCCAACACCTGACCGAAGAGAGGGTTTCCCAGCCACGAACAGCGAAAGTGACGTTTTTCAGTCATAAATGGTAGAATGTTGCCGCTGGCTTTCCATACAAAGGAATGCCAGACTTGGATTTAATGCCAAGATAAGGTTTTCCACTAAATATGGCTCTTTGTCCCTTGTTCCAGCACCGTGGGTGTGTATCCAAAGACTAGCATCATTTCAGAGGAGCTGTGTTGCCAAGAGATGCGGCGTTGCACAGGTTTCAGCTTTTCCTCCATCGCTCTGTTGCAAGCCAAAGTGATGTTTTTAATTTCTTTTTTTCATTGTTTTAATCGAAACTTAAAGAAGTGGTGATTTCAGAAAGTCTTACACATCGCCAGCCATTCTGTAGGTTTTACTTCTGATTTACTGGGAACTGCAGTGGGGATTTTTCACTTATAACTACCAGTGGCGCAAATTGTAAAATATGAGTCACTAAATACACTATCCACTTGGCAAATAAAGTGGTTTGAGATCTAAATATTGACATTTGCATGCACATTAATTGCGTTCATAAAACGGAATGCTCATTGCCAGGTTGTGAGCATAGCGTATAACCTGTGTTAACTCCCTTCTGCCATACATTTCTGTACTTTTGGCCTTTTGCATTAGAAAATAAGCTGTTTCTCAAGAAGTGACGTTTCCATGTTCCTCCTCCGTCACAACAGCTCACCTGCACTTTGCACCTCACAAAACGTTATTACAGGCAAACCGCTTTGTTAGCTTTCCATAACATGGATTTAACATTAAATCACTGTTGAAATACCTCTGCACTGATTGCGTTTTTGGTTCTGGCCTCACCTCCGTGCACATGGGAGTTGGGGCTGCTGAAAGCCTCAGAGCTGCTGAAAGCAGCATCAGGTGGTGTGCCTGGTCACCCAGTGCCACCCCTGTCCTCCTGGAGCACGCCCTTGTGGAAGGGGCCCCAGAGGTCTTCCATCCCACAGCCCCCTGCTGAGCATGTTCTTGTGGACATGAGATTTGGGTTGTGCAGCTGGTGGGAATGAGAGGCTCCGTGAGCCCCATCCCATAAGAGGAACACAAAAGTTTGGCCAGTGGAGATGCCTAGGACCTCTGCCAGGAGTGGCAGAGCCCAGTCACCGTCACCGCATGGGACTCGCCTGCCAGAAATCTCTCTCCATTGAAACAACCTGTTCTCTGCTGAAACCAATGTGGAGGGCTGCGTGGCTGGAGATACCTGAGCAACCTGCAGTGGTTGTGCAGAGGTCCACGCAACCTCCCGCACTGTGGGAAGGGAGTCCCCATAGACACAGCTGGATTTATCCTGCTGACTCAAAATGTACAGAGTTGCAACCCCCATCTAGAGCTGAGGCCTGAAGGTGCCGCAGAAGATTTACCAAAGTTGTTCAGGAAACATGGGGCAAAGCCAAGGCTCAAAGCACATCACCACAGTCACAGCATAGCATGTCTCCCCCTTCCCCTTGGGTCTTCTCACAGGGCTCCAGCAGTAAATGTGTTTTAAAATTCCTTCTGCCACTGAGCAAACCTCCCATTTCCTCAGATATGGGAATTGCTCTTGACCCAAGCCATGAGATGACATACCAGTTCTCATGCACTTTTCACCTTTCCATGGCCCGGCACTGAAAACCCACTTATTGCCTAGTCAATCCAAGACTGGGGGAGGGTGTCTGGAGGCTTTCCAGCCTCGATCATGGCCAACATGATGCAGTGACAGTCGTGGTCTTGCTTAGAGCAGTAGGTTGGACCACAGACTTCTGAGGGCCTTTCCCACCAACATGGAACTTCTCTTCCATGCCTCTACACTGCCTTTATGTCTTCCTACAAGTTGCTGGGCGCAACAGGAGCCTGACTCTCCCAACCAAGCCTCAAGAACCATTTCCCTTCCCCAGGAGCAGCAATCCCTGGCAGAACTTGGTCTGTAAAGGCATGAGGAGACATTGACACCATGTCTCCCCTGCCTATCAAATCTTCTCCAGCTATTGCTGGGAATCTCCTCACAGGCAAGGCTGAGTCACAGCAGTCCTTACAGGATGCACTCAGGAAGAGGAACATGCAGATTAGGGTTAGGGACCTCATGCCCAAGGAAGATGGGCATCTCATGAGTGGCACTCAGCTGTCCCACAAGCTTCTTTCCCACGCTTCAGCTGAGAGTTCCAGCTTCACACCCTCCAGTGTGCTCTCCCATGTGTGGAGGACCAGTTGCCAGGCTTCTCTAGAAAGAGCCTCCTGCTCTCACACCTGCCTCCCAAATCTCATAAACCACCCAGGGGGTTCCTTGACATAATGAAACCACACTGAGCTTGGAAGTTCATGGTGCAGCTTGCTGAGGGAAAGCTTTGCAAGCTTGGATTAGTTCCACAGACTTGTCAAGCTTTCCAGGAATTTTGTAAGGTCTGACGAGCCCTCCAGTCTCTGTTTTTCCACAGATTCCCTGTGCCACCTTTGGAAAGTCATTCCCTCCCTCTGCACCTAATGAAATCAAGCACCTGCTTCCCCAGCCTTGTCTTCTCCCTTCAGAGAGGATCCCTGTGCCCTATCAAGGCCTGGAGTTTCACACCCCTCCAAAAACCGTGCTGCAGAGAGTGCAAACACATGGCTTCCCCCAGAGCAAGGATGTTCCGCTCCATCTGATCTCTGCAGATTTGGCTCCCCTAAAGTTAGGGCTTCAGCCTCCCAATGTCTCCTGAGCTCTCCCCAGAGCCCATGTCAGCTGGGACTGTGCGACACATCAGCATCCTGAGAGAGCAGCAGCCCCACTGCAGAACTTAGTGTGACCACGCAGGTAGAGGAGAGCAGTTTCAAGGCATTCGAGAAGCCTGGAGCCTGATCCCTATGGTCCTTGTTCGTCACAGCTTATGTCTAGCTCTCCCCGGTGCTGGTGGGACAGACTGGGGGACTGCCACCTTCCCCCACCAGCCAGCCAGCCTTGGGGTTTCAGAACAGGCTGCATCTCCCCAGCCTTTTATGTCATCCAGAAAATCCCAAATCTGTGCACACACTATCAACAGTGGTGTCTCCAGCTTTCCCAGCTGTGGACACTCCTGGGGCCAGATGCTCCAGTGCCACCACAGTGCACAGCAGGGTCTCCCTCCCCTGGTGGGACATAAGGCGTCTCTGCCTGTCCCCACGGTGTCCTGTGCTCATGCAGGCAGGGACATGCCTAGTGCCAACCCACTCTGTCCTGTGGCCCTGATCCCTCACAGGCAGGGATATGTGTGGCTCCATTGCACCCTGCAGGTGGGGACGTGCATGACCCCATCCCATCCTATCCCCACACATGACCCAGACCGCCCCAGTCCTCTATGCAGGCAGGGACATGGGTGGCCCCAACCTCCTAGTGCCCCATGGAGATGTGTGCCCCAAGCAAGCGGGGACACCAGTAGCCCAGCACCCTGGTTCCCATGCAGGTGGTGGGGGGGCACATGGTCCCATCCCACCCTGTCCATCACACAGGAAAGAAACGCGTGGCCCGACCCCTTCCATTCCCCACGCATGGCCCCATCCCAACTTGTCTCCCAAGCAGGAGG